TTTCAGGATTTTTCTTATTAAAATAATATACTATTTACGAAAAACATTAATAAATAATCGCAACATTTCCAAACAATTATTTTTCTGAAACAATAACACAAGTTATTAGTATTTGTACTGAAATTCAAGCAAATAGGTTATCTGAAACAGTTAAATTATTTATTGTATTTTGGCAATAATAATAAGCAAAATTTTTTATTGAATCTATAAAAATTTTGTTAAAAAATATATACTAAGTTTTAACAAAAAGTTTACAAAAAATATTTAAAACTAAAAGTAGTAAAAAAATTACATATATACTTACAACATTTTTAAGAAAACGTTTCTAATTCTAGAAACTATTATTTTGTACTGTGAAAACTGAAACACTTATACATTAAATGTTATAAACCAAATAAGAATTATATCAATTCATATTACTATATTCCAAAACTGGTTTTATTTTTGTATTCCATATGCTGACATAAAAATAAAACTCAAACAAAAACATTTATTGAATCAGTAAAAATATTTACTGAAAATTAAATTTATTTCAATAAAGTGTTTGTTAGAAAATATTTTCCTTCTGTGTGAACATCAAACAAATTCGTTATAAACCCAAATAAAAATATTTATAAAAATCGAAATTAAATTTAAGCAAACGATTGTTAAGAAAAAAATTGTGCATATTTTTTTCTGTGTATATTAGTAGATTATCAAGAGTATTAAAAACCCTACAACCTCCTATCAAACCACTTGAAATCTGCTTAAAACTTTAACATTTCTATAACCTATATTTTACCATCCTCCCCATTGTGTTATATTACTTTGACACAAACAAACATTTGTATTTTTTGTGTATTTAAATTAAAAGAAAATCTTTATCAAAAGTAATATAAATTTCTAACATCAACACACAACACTTAAGCAACAACATACATAAGTGAGTATTTTTTTTTAGCAATCTCACTTTCAAAAATTCATTTCAATTTCTATTCATTTAGTTAAAAAGGTTTCAGACGAGTGCTGCTTCATCTACTTTTTAAGGATCTTTTTTTACATCTTCTTTTGCCATATAAAATTATCAAAAAAGGATTTCTATTGTTTCAACTCAAACTCGCAACTCTCTTGTTTAACCCACACTACGATACACGAAGACAAAAAAAACAAACAGGAGCAAATGTTTCATGTTGTTGTACACATATGACAGTAATAAACATTTCAAAGTTATTGTTATTGGTGGATGTTGTCGATGTTGATGTCATTACTGTCATTTCATTAAAAGTGTCGAAAATACTTACAAACATACAAATGTATATTCAAGAGTGTTCTGTCTGTCCTTCTGTGTGTATGTTTTTATATCACTTTGTCACCTTATTGTCACCTTTTACTTTATATATCAACCCATCTTTCAACTCTTAAACAAATTGTTTCTTTTTCTCTTGTTGTTGCTGATGATGATGACGGTTTGTTGTTCTTGTTTTTCTATATTAAAACGATGCCACATTTGCTTGCAACAAAAGTGTAGAAAAAATCATTTAGAAAAGTGTGTTAGTTGTGGGGGAGGATATAATGGCAACGATAAGTGGAACATATATTTTTCTTTATTGTTTTATTTCTTTCTTTTTAGTTCTTTTTTCTTTACTACGTTTTTGGTGTAATGTATCAGTTTAAAAATTCATTACTTTTAGTTGTAATATGTTGGTTATTTGTTTGCTGTTACTATTGTTGATAAAAAAAAACTGGTTAAGAGATTTTTCAAAATCAAATACTCAATATCAAGATTAAAAGCGATAACAATTTTTGTAAAATAAAAATTTCAATATATTTGGGATTGCACGATATTCTTTGCTGCTGATTTGATGTCAATTTTAATTTATTAAGTGAATATGGTTCAGAATGTAATGTATTAAGTTTTTTGACCGGTTACAATTGCAACATATTTTTGTTAATAAACGACCTTGTAACAATAATATGAAGAAAAGTTAATAACGAAAAGTGTAACAATAATAAAGTGAAGCTAAGTATTTTATTGTAATTGTAATGTAGGATTTCGAGGAATGTGAACCTCAATAATGTGAATAGCAATAATGGCACAGGAGTCCAAAAATATGATCAGGACTACCACGAAACTAGATGGAACGAACTAACTAACTAACTAACTAACTAACTAACTAACTAACTAACTAACTAACTAACTAACTAACTAACTAACTAACTAACTAACTAACTAACTAACTAACTAACTAACTACTAACTAACTAACTAACTAACTAACTAACTAACTAACTACTAACTAACTAACTAACTAACTAACTAACTAACTAACTAACTAACTAACTAACTAACTAACTAACTAACTAACTAACTAACTAACTAACTAACTAACTAACTAACTAACTAACTACTAACTAACTACTAACTAACTAACTAACTAACTAACTAACTAACTAACTAACTAACTAACTAACTAACTAACTAACTAACTAACTAACTAACTAACTAACTAACTAACTAACTAACTAACTAACTAACTAACTACTAACTAACTAACTACTAACTAACTACTAACTAACTAACTAACTAACTAACTAACTAACTAACTAACTAACTACTAACTAACTAACTAACTAACTAACTAACTAACTAACTAACTAACTAACTAACTAACTAACTAACTAACTAACTACACTACTAACTAACTAACTAACTAACTAACTAACTACTACTAACTAACTAACTAACTAACTAACTAACTAACTAACTAACTAACTAACTAACTAACTAACTAACTAACTAACTAACTAACTAACTACTAACTAACTAACTAACTAACTACTAACTAACTAACTAACTACTAACTAACTAACTAACTAACTAACTAACTAACTAACTAACTAACTAACTAACTAACTAACTACTAACTAACTACTAACTAACTAACTAACTAACTAACTAACTAACTAACTAACTAACTAACTAACTAACTAACTAACTAACTAACTAACTAACTAACTAACTAACTAACTAACTACTAACTAACTAACTAACTAACTAACTAACTAACTAACTAACTAACTAACTAACTAACTACTAACTAACTACTAACTAACTAACTAACTAACTAACTAACTAACTAACTAACTAACTAACTAACTACTAACTAACTAACTAACTAACTAACTAACTAACTAACTACTACTAACTAACTAACTAACTAACTAACTAACTAACTAACTAACTAACTAACTAACTAACTAACTAACTAACTAACTACTAACTAACTAACTAACTAACTAACTAACTAACTAACTAACTAACTAACTAACTAACTAACTAACTAACTAACTAACTAACTAACCTAACTAACTAACTAACTAACTAACTAACTAACTAACTACTAACTAACTACTAACTAACTAACTAACTAACTAACTAACTAACTAACTAACTAACTAACTAACTAACTAACTAACTAACTAACTACTACTAACTAACTAACTAACTAACTAACTAACTAACTAACTAACTACTAACTAACTAATAACTAACTAACTAACTAACTAACTAACTAACTAACTAACTAACTAACTAACTAACTACTAACTAACTAACTAACTAACTACTAACTAACTAACTAACTAACTAACTAACTACTAACTAACTAACTAACTAACTAACTAACTACTAACTAACTAACTAACTAACTAACTAACTACTAACTAACTAACTAACTAACTAACTAACTAACTAACTAACTAACTAACTAACTAACTAACTAACTAACTAACTAACTAACTAACTAACTAACTACTAACTAACTAACTAACTAACTAACTAACTAACTACTAACTAACTAACTAACTAACTAACTAACTAACTAACTAACTAACTAACTAACTAACTAACTAACTAACTAACTAACTAACTAACTAACTAACTAACTAACTAACTAACTAACTAACTACTACTAACTAACTAACTACTAACTAACTAACTAACTAACTAACTAACTAACTAACTAACTACCTACCTACCTACCTAACTAACTAACTAACTAACTAACTAACTACTAACTAACTGACTGACTAACTACTAACAACTAACTAACTAACTAACTAACTAACTACTAACTAACTAACTAACTAACTAACTAACTACTAACTAACTAACTAACTAACTAACTAACTACTAACTAACTAACTAACTAACTAACTAACTAACTAACTAACTAACTACTAACTAACTAACTAACTACTACTAACTAACTAACTAACTAACTAACTAACTAACTAACTAACTAACTAACTAACTACTAACTAACTAACTAACTAACTAACTAACTAACTAACTAACTAACTACTAACTAACTAACTAACTAACTAACTACTACTAACTAACTAACTAACTAACTAACTAACTAACTAACTAACTAACTAACTAACTACTAACTAACTAACTAACTAACTAACTAACTAACTAACTAACTAACTAACTAACTAACTAACTAACTACTACTAACTAACTAACTAACTAACTACCTACTAACTAACTACCTACCTACCTACCTAACTAACTAACTAACTAACTAACTAACTAACTAACTAACTAACTGACTGACTAACTAACTAACTAACTAACTAACTAACTAACTGACTAACTAACTAACTAACTAACTTACTAATTACCTAACAACAGTTGCAACACAACAACCTTAATTCTATTTACATTAACCCATCCAAACATTTCTCATGTTTACAACATGTGGACAAACCTCCACAAACAAAAATGTTACTAACATTAGCAACATTGCTGCTATCAACATTTGCTAAATTATCGAAACATCGACCAGTTTTCGTAGCAGTGTTTATAAGTATGTAGAAGGTTTAACGAAGCACGAAGACGTCGTATTTCGACGAAATGTTATGATTTGTCCCGAGGATTTTCAGGACCTTAGAGTTGCTGTTAATAAACGAAACAATTTAGTTGTCGTGCAACCACTTAACGTAACGTTAATGTTTTTGAACTCGTGCTCGTTTTAAAAAAGAATAAATAATAATAAAAAAAGAAAATAAATTTAAAAAAAAAAATATATTATTAAAGTGCAAGCTAAAGAAATAAAAAAAAGTATATTAAATAATTTACAAATATTAGCAAAAAATTGTGAAAAAATAAAAAAAAAAATAATATATAATTTAAGCATTGAAGTGTGCAAGAAATTAAACAAGTGTAAATAATTGTTATGATAAAAAAAAGTTTTACAAATATAAAAATTAAAAAATAAAAACCAACAAAAGTGCAACAAAACAAGTGAATTTTAATACAATATCCGCTTCCGTTTAAGCCAACTTCCGTATGTCATATTTGGTTTGTTACCATTTCTTTTTTTTTTTTGTAATATTTACTACCATTTATATTACTACTACTACTACCGCATACTACAAATAGTTATTTTTCCTTTCATAGTTGTATACCATTGACATTTCAAAAGTTTTTAGTTTAAATAAAAATTTATTGTAGTTATTTTTACTATTGTTACATTGTATTGTTAAATACATATACATTTTTCTTTTGTACTTTTTGTTGTTAACCTTTTTGTTCTGCATATGTAATTTACAATTTATATTTACATATACACAAAACTATATTTATACCTACTATATTTATATGCGTTTGTATATAATTTCATTATTTACATTTACAACTTGTATATTATTGCAACAAGCGCAACAACATGCAACTACGGTACCATTAATGTATATATCTGCATTGTTGTTGTCATCGTTAAACTGGTGTTACTTTTATGACTCCAACAAAAAAAATTTATATATTTTTGGCTAGAGGTTAAGGGAAGTTTTTGTATAAAAAGGAAACCGCGGAATTTTATATGTTGCTTTCCTCCTTATGACTCTATTACTCAATTTTATAATGAATATTTTGTTAACTTTTTTACTGACACATTAAGTACATCACATGCAACATCTTTATAATTCTTTGTCTTTAACGTATGAATTTATATATAAAATATGACATGTCATAAATGAGGAAAAAATATAATGCATTAAAAAGTTTTTGGGAAAAGTATGGCTTAAGATACATTTTGTTAACCCCTATGTGTTAAGGGGGGAACTTTCATAAAGGTTCAAGTAGTAAAATATCAAACAGTAATCGGAATCGGAAAAACTATTTCATACAAAAAAGTGCCACCACCTTTCCCGTCAAATATTTGATCAATGTTACTCAAGGTTTGATCATGCAGGTTTGATTATGCACTCAAAATGTAATATAGGCTCTAAAAAACTCGACATATAAGTTAAATATGCTTTTAAAATCAAATCATGCAAAATTATGCTCTTATGGGTAAAATAATGTTTTTGCATGTGCTAACGAAACGATGCCAAAATTGTTAAATTGGTCTGAAAGGTTTAAATATCTTATCCATGAGTTCATACTGTGCACCATAAAAAACATGCATTTGCATATTTTTCTCTCGTTTATGAGTTTGTTTAAAACGTGATTTATTATACCCTTCAAATTCGTGAGAAGGGTATATACATATATATAAGTTTGTCATTTCGTTTGTAATTTCCACAATGTAATTATCCGACCCTATAAAGATAGCGGAGTCGATGAAGCCATGTCCTTCTGTCTGTCTGTCCGTCCATCCGTCCGTCTGTATGTCTGTAGAAATCAATTTTATGAAGACCTCAGATATCTTCGGTATTTAAATCTTACTTAATTCTGTCAGATATACTTTCGAAAAGTTTGCTATTATATATGATCCGGTAAATGCGAATCTGAATGAATTTAGATACTCATAAATAAAAAATTTATTGATAGAAAAAAACCGAATTTCTGAAAGAGACCTTAATTGGGGGCTAGAGTCATCTATAAGGGACCTAGAGTTAAATGAGGATCGATTTATATGAAAATAAAACATATTCTTGCCGATTTGTTTTAAATGTAGTACTATATTTGACATAATTAGTTACAAATTTCAAATGGAGAGATTCAGTTAAGAAAAATAATCGACCGATTCTTTTCTTACCGAATTATCTTGCAGTTTGATTACAAAGTTTACATGGACAGAAGTACAAGGTCATGGATTAATCAACTCAGAAAATTATTAGAATTTGTAAATATTATTTTTAATAAATTTACAAGCAAACTGTTTAATTCATAAACACAATTAATTTGAGTAATTAAATTAATTAATTTTTGTTTTATTACAGACATTAGTTTATAAATATAATTTTTGTTTTTCTCGATCACTTGATTAATTTTATAGCAAAATTATTAAGAACGATATTCATGAAGTAATCAAATTCAAAAAAAATATAGGATGAGTTTTGAACCGATTAATATTCTATACCTGCAAAAAAAACTTCCAGAAGCGAAAAAGAAGTAGAAGAAGTACTGAAAAAGACTTGCAGAAGTGATGATTTTAACACAGGCTTGTCATAGAAGGGATGTCCTTTTCATTTGATTCTAAATTCACTACTTCTGAAGTCGTTGTCTAGAAGTAATTTGTATGTTCTTATTTTGGAAGTTCAATAGTAGTATTTTAGAAAACAACTACTTCGATTAATAGTATTAACAAAAATAAAGGAATTACACAAATTTAACATAAAACCCCAAAATAAATTTTTTTAAATAAAAAAAATTATCTTCAGTTAAAAAAAATATATCTTTGATGTGGTGATAAATGTGATTTTTTTTGGAAATACTTAGATTTTTTTGCTTAAAGATATAAAGATACTCCTTTTAAAAAAGTTTAGTTTTTAGTAAAATGATGTGATTCATGTGACCAATAGAGTGATCACGAGAAAGTCATGTAGGAATAGCTCTCAGTGCACGGGAAAAATAAAAAAATAAACAAAATTCGAAAAAAGTCGAAACCCTGAAAAAGAAACGCTATTTTTGAGACGTTATAACAGCTCAAAGACAATTGTTTTGTTTATAAAATGTCGTATGCAACATTAAAATAAAAGCTTAACATTTGACATATTTTCTTTCTTTTTTGAGATATCTTTACCTAAAGTTTCAAAACTCATGGTCTACGGAATATTCATTGTATTTATACCCTACACTACTATAGTGCGTAGGATATTATGTTTTGAAAATATTGTTTATTGTTTATAAGGAACAAAACTACTGGATCTATATCGATTTGAGGATGTTGCAATCGACTGAAAATCGTTTTCTGATTCAACTTAACGATGTCTGTCCGTCCGTCAACTTCAATGGATGATATCTAAGTAATTACAGAAGATTTTTAAACTATTCAAAATCTTATTTTATAGGAAAAAATTAAAAATTGGAATATATAAAATTTTTATCAAATAAAGGCGAAATTTGAGAAAAAATACAGTTTTTGTTAATTTATTGCTGTATTATGCTTATGGTGAATATATCTCGAAGAAGAAAGAAGATATTCAGATGTCTTCAGCCTTCATTTTAAAGCTGACATCAAGGACTTTTAGATGACATTCAACATTTTATAAAGTTGCCTTGGCCCTGTTATAACATCTCAACAAGGGCCAAAAATTACGTTTTTCGAACTTCAGAACACGATATCTTGAATACCAGATGTGATGGGATAACATTGAAAGATTTTCACGCTAATGGAGGATAAAAGAGGACATTAATTTGTCATCAAAATATATTTAAATTTTTTATATGTCAAATTTAAAAAATTTTTTGGTCTTAATTTTAGACTAGTTTTAGTTATGCAAATATTCAATACTTTTAAAATTATCAATAATATTCTTAATAAAAAATTCTTTTTAAATATTGAAGTATCCGCAGCGTATACATGCATACGTGTTATAAATAACCCATATCACTCATACGCCTAAATGTACATATATTTTAGTGATAATACTGATCTAAAAAAATGTTTTTTTGCCCCTTTGAATTTAAGTGATAGACAGATTACTATAGCTCAAGTGCTTTTGAATCGAGATATGGTTTTAAAATAATGGGAACTTGAGCCGCGAAGCTGGTCCTGTTAATTATTTTCCTTTTAATTTTTTTGTATTCTTAAGTGATATGTATCGTATCATTTATTAAAAGAAAATATATATACTTTTGGATTTTTATAGTTTTTTTACAATCAAAGCGTATACAAGAACTTTTTTTATCTTTAATTTTTTCAAAATTTTCAACTTTGAGTGCTTACATCTTACAGATGGAACCATACTTAGTTATGAATTTTTTATTTGATTTTTTTTTTTTTTTTTTTAATTTTTTACTTCTAAAATTCTACGTGATAGAATGTTAATAAAATCATAAAAGAATTCTTACTTCAAAATTGTACTACAACAACGTCTATATGAATAGAACTGTAGGGTATTTAAAATTTACAGTACTTGTCTTAAATCCCCATTATTTACAATTTTTAAATTCAACAACAAAATTGTGTAATAGTAAAATTTATATTTTTCTTTTGGGTCTTTAAAATCATAGTTGCTTTTCACAGATAATGTGCCAAAAAATAACTGAAGAACTAAAGAAAAAGTAAAATAAAACTTTTATTTCTTTTTACCTGAGAATATGAAAATAATGTTATTTTAACGTTTTGAAAGGAACCAAGCAGGAGTAACTAAAAGCAACCTTTATCTCATAATCTTTCGGTGCTTATATATGTATGATTGTGCTATTACAAAATCCCAGCTAGAAGAAACTCTGACAGCCAGTCTTTGTTGAAGAATAGTGTGTATAGTTATGTTTGCAAAAAATTAAAAAAAAAATCAACAAAAAATATTCTTTACTATTACTTGCAAAAATTTTCAGTGTTTTTCCTATGAAAAAAGAAACTGAAAAAATTCACAAACAAGTTTTTATTTTTTAACAACAAACAGATAAAGAAAATCCGAAACAAAATTTCTTAAACAGTTTCGTTTTTTACAACTACTAAAGGATTTTCCTATGCTTTAAAAAACTGCAGATACAAATTTAAAATCAGTTACGTTTGCTTTTTTTGTGAACAGGCATAAGAGAAGCAAAGTCTCGTATAAGTTTAAATAAATTAAGATTTTTATCTAAAGATAAGACATTATTTTAATTGGACTAGGAAGACGTCGCGCCGTTAAAAATACTGCAGAGTATAAATGGAAACTGTTTTAAATTACCTTGTTTTTCATAGAACATTTTGGTTTTTTTATATGTATTTAAATACATAAATTTAATTCGCTAAAAAATTTATGTTTTCCAATTGTAGACAAAGATTATTTAAAATGTTTCATTCTTTAAGGCGCATCGTTATAGAGAATATAAAAGGTACCATTTGAAGAATGGAAAAGTACCAAAGAGTTCCCACTTATAGAATATTATTCAGTTAAGACCCTGTATGTTAAAATTTATGTTCCTATTTTAGAAAATTCAAAAAGTACCATTTATGAGATAAAAAGTACTAAAAAGTTCCCTCATAAAGAATATTATTCAATGAGGACCGTGTATGTTTAATAATCATGTGTTTTGAATTCATATTATAGAACATTCAAAGAGTATCATTTGAAGAAATAAAAAGTACCAAATGTAGAATAAATTCTACCTTAGTGGAAAGTACTAATAAAAAGAGCACAATTTTTTCCCTTTTCTCTTAGAAACATACTTTCTTGAGAATTAAGTTTACAAAATGTTCCGTATTTAAATCTATATATCACAGATAAAACTCATACGTTTCAAATCTGCATTCATTTGTTCCAGAAAAATTGGGCTTTCAAAAAGTACCAACCAATTTACTCGAATTTGGTCCTATATAGGCCTTAGTACTCGAATTCCAAAATAATATACCAATAGCTTATTTTGTGAGAGTAAATAAACACTATTTCAAATTTTATAAAAATTGGCTCAATGAGTTTGAATAAAATTAAATTTCCCGTTTTTCCCCTTTTTGGTACTTTTATCCCCAGTGAAATAGCAAAAATTTTGTTTCAACAAATATTACAGAGTTAGTCCATAATTTAATAGGAATACTTCAATAAATCGAAAAAGTTTTCTTAATGTGCTAAAAAAAGTAGCAAAAATACAGTTTTCTCCCTTTTACACCCAAAAAGGAATGAATTTTAAAAAAGTACGAAACAGGTGTCTCCTAATTTTGACAGATATATTCAAAATATTTACAAAAATGTTATTATGTTTATTAGTTAAAAAGTTACAAATAGCCAAAAAGGTACCAAAATCGCCTTTGTTAGACATTCCCCCCCTTAAAAGTACGAATTTTAAAAAAGTACCAGACACCCATCTACTTAACTTAAGAGTAGATACAGGTGCATTTAAAATTTTTCTTGTATCACTAATATTGGGTAAGATAATAAAGAAAAGCTGTTTTACCCGTTTTTCCCTTTTTTACCCCAAAATGTACAAATTTCCAAAAATCCCTCCTTAGTGGATCTACATAACCAAAAGCACATCTACTGTCAAAATTTCATGATTCTAGGTTCAGCCGTTTGGGCTGTGCGATGATGAATCAATCAGTCAGTAACGCTACTCTTTTATATATCTAGATTAATTTTTTCAAAAAATTATAGAGTGATTAGAAAGGCAAGGATTTTCATGCACTAAAAAACTAAAAATATAAAAAGGGAAAATATGCAATAAAAATGTGGAAAATATGCACAATATTTCCTTGTGAAATTTATTTGTTTCCACTAATTTTTCTTTTATGGTATTTTAAAAAATTTTTATAGATATTTAGAACTTAAGTTTTTGATAACATATATATAGGTTCTTGATGACAGAATTACCGCTTTATGTACTCTAATACCAATTTAACAGAATCACGATATCGAGAATTACAATAATTATAAAGCCTATGGAACACTTTTAAATAATAAACATACATATGGGCAATTTCGTGTCAAACTCAAAAAATCGATTTGGATGAAATTTGCACCAAGGTTAGTACTACTGGATAATAGTTCAGATTCATCGTTCTAGAACTGCTGGAGTTAGGGGGGTCAAAGTTAGACACTTTGGTCATACAGAGTTTTTTCAAATGAGTGTAACTTTTCACCTATTGATCCTAACAAAAATTGCCCAAAGGAGTTTAGATTAGATAGATATTTCATTACTGTTTAAATATTTTTTTTAAATTTTATTTTTTATTTTTTTAAATATTTTTTTATTGTAATACATATTTTTACAATAAAAAAATAAATAAAACAAAACATAATTGTTTTCGAAAAAATTAAAAAATATGCTAAATATGCCATAAAAATGTTAGAAATATGCAAAATATATGCAATTTAAAGCAAAATATGCAATTTATGCATTTATAACAAAATATGCAAAAATATGCAACAACAAATCGATGCCATTTTGTTGCATATTCTTTGATTCGTAAAGAAAACTAGTTAAAAGTTATTTTAAGTTACTGACTACAAACCTTCATTTGCATACAAATCCTTGCCCTGGTGATTAGTTATATTAAAATTTTAAATAGTAAAATATTTTTTATAACGTAAGAATGACAAAAAATAGGCTAATACTTAAGAACGTACACATTACGAGTGTCCCGAGGAACTGCCTTTTGTATTAGCATGCAGGAATACCTCTCAATCGATGCGTATTAATGTTTTGAACAAGACAAATATAAAAAGTATTTTTATAACCACCATCAAAAAAGATGGGAGGTACATTAAATCATTCCGTTTGTAGCATATCGAAATATTGATCATAGACCCACACAAGTATATTATATTCTAAGATGATCTAGCCATGTATGTATGTCCGTCCGTCTGTTCGTCCGTACGTCCATCCGTCCGTCCGTCTGTCCGTCTGTCTGTCTGTCTGTCTGTCTGTCTGTCTGTCTCTCCGTCTTTCTGTCTGTCTGTCTGTCAGTCTGTCTGTTGAAAGCACGATAGAGTCCGAACGGAAAGAGGTAGGGAGTTGAAATTTTCCACAAATATTTCTTATAGGTAAGGTTTGTTTGGTATTGGAAATGGGCAATATCGGTCCACGTTTTTGCATAGCCCCCATACAAGTGGCCCTTCGAAAAACCGCTTTAGCAGTCATAACTGTTTTAAGGATATGAGTATAGCGATAAAATTCAACATAAATAAGTTTTATATGAGCCAAATTTTCTCTACTAAATTTTACGAATATGCCTCAAAAAAAAATGACTTAAACGTCCATTACTGGCTTAAATCGGACTTCTTATTATCCGATAGATTTTTCTCAATATCATGTATCTATGCCAAAATTTGATCTTCCTCCTAGACTATTTAAATATAGAGATGGATGGACAGATTTGCAAATATTTTATCGATCTAAACATATCACATACACACATACTTTTGATGGTCTACAATACAATATCGTTTATTTTCGCTATATTAAATATTAAATATCGTTATGTAACATATTATTAAACTATTTTTTTCCTTATCAAGTATCAAGTTTGTTTATGAAGCGTATTTTTATTTGAATTTTTAAAATATTTTCTTTATCTGCATTAATAAATCAAACACACCCCTTCTTCCCTTTTTATAAATAATGTTGCAGCATTAAAAAAACATAATTTATTAAATATCATTAGTACAAGAAGCAAAAAATTAATAAACTTTGTTTAATAGGTTAAAGTATATTTATTCTTCATTAAGAAAAATCCCTTTCCAAAAAGATTACAAGCTTAAACCGGAAATTAAAGGAATAAACCTATAAGATAACATTTTTTTCTTAAAAAGAATTTAATTTTCTTGTTAAAGTAATTAGAACACTTTCTTTGCCCATAAATTATGTTTATCATTTTTTTTCCTTTTTTTCTTTACAGAATTTTATAATTTTTACTCGTTAAAAGAAGTACAACACACAGATTTCCACAAAAAAAGAAGCGGGAAAGGACATTGAACAAATTAATAAATCATATTTAACTGGACGCCATAGAGAAAAGGCAAAAGAGGAAAGACGAAGGTAGAAAAAGGATTTTAATATTAAAAGTTGCTTGTTGCAAATTAAAAGCAGGTAATTAAATGTTCATTTTATTAAAATATTAAATATTTAAAATTTTCACACAGCAGCGTTAGCTTGAGTTGTTGTTATTGTGTAATAAAGTCATGCATTTCAATTGAACTTCATGTACGAGATTTAATTTAATTGGGGCTATTAAAAACAATCAATACACAAATTTGTCAAGCCAGGCAGAGTAATGGAAATACACAGTATTTATGGCTAAAGACATTAATTAATCTTTAAAATTTTAACAGCAGACAAACATATAGACAGACTGACATTGATTACTTTTACTGATTATTTAATTATTTATTTATGTACGTTTTTTCTCTCACTCTCTCTGATAAATTTTAATAATGACCTCAAAGTTGCCGCACGTTTTATACAGATGAAGGATATTTAACCTTTTTCTATAAATTTAAATTTTTTGCCAAAAATAAATAAATATTTACTATGATTTTTAAATTAAACGAAATGAAATCCTGATTTCTATATTGATTTATTAACTCTCGATGTTTTCGTTTTAGATTTGTTGGTGTGAGTTTTCAATATTTATTTTGTGGTATTAAGCCTTCAGGAAATTTCTTTGAAAAATATTTTTTATTACTTTTGTCCTTAAATTGTCATCCGGTTTATTTTCTTTGTTTGTTAGTATTTTGTGAAATTAGGACACGTCTATTTCTTATATTTATTGTCAATCGTAAAACTTAGATAAAATGGGCTTTAAAACAGTGTGAAACTTTAACTCAAATAAATAATATCAATCATACGTACAGTTGTTTTATTTTAAAGACATTGAATTAAATATTGCTCATACGCATAGTACCACAGTTTGGAATGGTATTTGTAAATCTTACCTGCAAGAAAAGAATAAAAAAAAGAATATTAGACTTATATTTAAATTCATTAATTCTTATTATAGAAAAATTTGTTAAAGAAATTTTACGTTAAGTGCATTTTTCTTCTATAGAAAACCACTTTATCTCCTCAAAAATTTAATTAAAGTTTAACAGAACTTCTCTCAAACCCCAGTAGCAAAACATAAAAATATTCATATTACGCTTACAATTTTTAAACTCAAATAATATTTTTTCACCCCCCCTCATCTTGATAAAAAAACATACAAATTATTGCGGCTACAGTTTTTTCCCTATTACAAGACATTTAAACAAATAAATTAACTAATTTCAACATATTTATGTAAATTGTTTATTATTCTTGTTTATTGCTAACGCCTTTGTTGCCTTTGTTTGCCAACACCTTTTGGCTAAAAAAAAAACAAAATAAACTTTTAAAGCAGCAAGAAAAAATATTACGCTTTATACATTTTGTCTGTTTTTTCGGGGTTGATTTCTTTTGGTGGACCATAAAATTTTTAAATAAGTGGCAATGACTTCAAAGAGTCAGAGTATTTTTTTCTAAATATTTTTTTATCATCTTGAAAACAGGTGGACTATTATGTTGAAAATAATGATACTTTTTAGCTGTAGATTCGTTTTTATTTAAGTTACACCATTTTAAGACTGAAATTGGATACATTTAGAGAAAATTGTTTATAAACTAGAACTGAACTAGAACTGAACTAGCACTGAACTAGCACTGAACTAGCACTGAACTAGCACTGAACTAGCACTGAACTAGCACTGAACTAGCACTGAACTAGCACTGAACTAGAACTGACTAGAACTGACTAGAACTGAACTAGAACTGAACTAGAACTGAACTAGAACTGAACTAGAACTGAACTAGAACTGAACTAGAACTGAACTAGAACTGAACTAGAACTGAACTAGAACTGAACTAGAACTGAACTAGAACTGAACTAGAACTGAACTAGAACTGAACTAGAACTGAACTAGAACTGAACTAGAACTGAACTAGAACTGACTAGAACTGAACTAGAACTGAACTAGAACTGAACTAGAACTGAACTAGAACTGAACTAGAACTGAACTAGAACTGACTAGAACTGAACTAGAACTGAACTAGAACTGAACTAGAACTGAACTAGAACTGAACTAGAACTGAACTAGAACTGAACTAGAACTGAACTAGAACTGAACTAGAACTGAACTAGAACTGAACTAGAACTGAACTAGAACTGAACTAGAACTGAACAAGAACTGAACTAGAACTGAACTAGACTGAACTAGAACTGAACTATAACTGAACTAGAACTGAACTAGAACTGAACTAGAACTGAACTAGACTAACTGAACTAGAATACGAACTAGAACTGAACTAGAACTGAACTAGAACTGAACTAGAACTGAACTAGAACTGAACTAGAACTGAAACTAGAACTGAACTAGAACTGAACTAGAACTGAACTAGCAAACTGAACTAGAACTGAACTAGAACTGAACTAGAATGAACTATAACTGAACTAGAACTGAACTAGAACTGAACTAGAACTGAACTAGAACTGAAACTAGAACTGAACTAGAACTGAACTAGAACTGAACTAGAACTGAACTAGAACTGAACTAGAACTGAACTAGAACTGAACTAGAACTGAACTAGAACTGAACTAGAACTGAAACTAGAACTGAACTAGAACTGAACTAGAACATGAACTAGAACTGAACTAGAACTGAACTAGAACTGAACTAGAACTGAACTAGAACTGAACTAGAACTGAACTAGAACTGAACTAGAACTGAACTAGAACTGAACTAGAACTGAACTAGAACTGAACTAGAACTGAACTAGAACTGAACTAGAACTGAACTAGAACTGAACTAGAACTGAACTAGAACTGACTAGAACTGAACTAGAACTGAACTAGAACTGAACTAGAACTGAACTAGAACTGAACTAGAACTGAACTAGAACTGAACTAGAACTGAACTAGAACTGAACTAGAACTGAACTAGAACTGAACTAGAACTGAACTAGAACTGAACTAGAACTGAACTAGAACTGAACTAGAACTGAACTAGAACTGAACTAGAACTGAACTAGAACTGAACTAGAACTGAACTAGAACTGAACTAGAACTGAACTAGAACTGAACTAGAACTGAACTAGAACTGAACTAGAACTGAACTAGAACTGAACTAGAACTGAACTAGAACTGAACTAGAACTGAACTAGAACTGAACTAGAACTGAACTAGAACTGAACTAGAACTGAACTAGAACTGAACTAGAACTGAACTAGAACTGAACTAGAACTGAACTAGAACTGAACTAGAACTGAACTAGAACTGAACTAGAACTGAACTAGAACTGAACTAGAACTGAACTAGAACTGAACTAGAACTGAACTAGAACTGAACTAGAACTGAACTAGAACTGAACTAGAACTGAACTAGAACTGAACTAGAACTGAACTAGAACTGAACTAGAACTGAACTAGAACTGAACTAGAACTGAACTAGAACTGAACTAGAACTGAACTAGAACTGAACTAGAACTGAACTAGAACTGAACTAGAACTGAACTAGAACTGAACTAGAACTGAACTTAAACTAGAATTGTTGAGAATATATATTGTTAGAAATGGTGTTTGTTATAAAAAAGTGTTTTGACTTTTTAGGGGAAGAATAGAAGAAGATTTCAATGAAATGTGTAGTAAATTCTGTAATGAACAAAAAGTTAATTTTATTCTAATCATGTATTGTAATTACTCCTATAAATGTCATTTAAACATGATTTATGACATAATGACCATATAATTATGTATTAAAAGATTTAATGAACTTTAAACTTTACTACAAGAAGAGTGCAATCATGTTGCAAGTATCTATGAGGTTTGCAATATACGTTAATATTAATATTAATTACTGGCAACACCCCACACTCAAAAAATCAACTTCCGCTTTACAGACTGTGAAAATTTCATAATATTAAATTTAATTACAAACTGTAAAGAGATTAAAGTGAACTTGAATAATGTCTGGAAAAATAATTTCACTAAATTAATATTAAAAAAAAATTTTATTTAAATTTATATATTACCTTAACCCATCTACAGAATAATCATTCATTTTAGAATAATTGCTAAAAGAAAAAAAGAAACTTGAAATGTCATGGTAACATGAAAAATCTACATAATTAAAAATGCATCAGACCATGTATTTGTTATTGTTGTTCAACAATATAAATTTAAAATGTATGACTTTAACTAGAGATGTGCATGTGGTGGAAAATTAAAATAAAAGAAAATAAAAATATTTTAAAAATTTTACTTTAGAAATGGATGACAAGTAAGAATAATTATAGTTACTTTTTATTATTTCTGCCAATTGTAACAGACATCAGCAAAATAAAAAAAATACTTGATGTCCTTGTGGGTTTGGGAAAGTGTAACGAAAATAAAAGATTTATCAAAAAATAAGAGATATTGTACACTTCAAGGTCAAAGGAAATTATTATTTAAAGACAAAAACAAAAATTTAAATTAAAAAATTAAATTAAATTTTCGTTAAATTTTCTTTTTATAGAAAATTTTTGTTAAATTTTCTTTATAGAAAATTTTTGTTAATTTTTTTTATAGAAGATTTTCGTTATATTTTCTTTTTATAGAAAATTGTCCATAAATTTTCTTTTTATAGAATATTTTCGTTAAACTTTCCTTTTATAGAAAATTTCCGTTATATTTTCTTTTTATAGAAAATCTTCGTTAAATTTTCTTTTATAGAAAATTTTCGTTAAACTTTCTTTTTATAGAAAATTTGTCGTTAAATTTTCTTTTTATAGAAAATTTTCGTTAAATTTTCTTTTTATAGAAAATCTTCGTTAAATTTTCTTTTATAGAAAATTTTCGTTAAACTTTCTTTTTATAGAAAATTTGTCGTTAAATTTTCTTTTTATAGAAAATTTTCGTTAAATTTTCTTTTTATAGAAAATTTTCGTTAAATTTTCTTTTTATAGAAAATTTTCGTTAAATTTTCTTTTTATAGAAAATTTTCGTTAAATTTTCTTTTTATAAAAAAAAATTTCGTTAAATTTTCTTTTTATAAAAAAATTTTTCGTTAAACTTTCTTTTTATATAAAATTTTCGTTAAA